CCCTCCCTACTTAGTTTCCTTGCTCATTTCACTCCCATCCTCCTTCATTTTCACTCCCACCCTTATGTCAAGAGCATAAGAACTGCATAGACACATTTCCCATCACAGAGGCCATGTAAAGGATTCAAATTGAATTAAATAACAACTCCTGATTGTGAGGCTCTAAAAGAAACATTTTGAGGCTCTTAACAACTTCTTGTAATTTTAAACCCATCATTTAAAAAAATTATGTTATCTTATTTTTGATCTTAACTCTTAGGAAAAAACAGAGCAAGATGTTCCCCACCTCAAATGCACAAAATTCTATTGTAATTCCTACAGATGTTAAGGAATGACCAGGACGGATCCCTGAGTTTTCCTGTATTCTTGTCATGTTCATGAACACCTCCTCTCACACACGTATTTAGGACAAAGATTGTTTTAATATCTGTTTGCAGGTAGTAACCAATATCCATTATTTTGAATCTTTGTATGAGTGAGGGGAACTTGAAACTTTGGTCCAGATGTTTCTGACTGTGTTGTTAAGGAGCCAAATATTTCAGACACTATTGAATGCATACATAAAGTTTGTGAGAGAGTATTTTGCTTTGTTTTAATAACGTTTAACCCTGTGCAGTTCTCCAAAGACTTTCATCCTCATTTGGTTTGATAAACTTTGAGTAATTAATCATAGAAATTATCCTACCTTGTTATCTGGCAGACCAGTTGAGGTCTGAGGTTAAAGTACTTCGATGAAAAATTATAATCATTTTGTGTTTACCCCTGTGATTGTGTCATGGATGCAGGCAAGAGCTGAGTTTGCAATTCAAATAGTACATTCACTTTACAATGGTTTACAGAAGACAGAATGAAAGACAACTATCACTACCTATTAAATTTTTCAATGAGCTTATGAATTTTAAAAGGCATTTCATGGAGAAAAAAAAAACCAACAAAAAGCATTTGTGTGAGACTAAGAATGAGAATTAAATACAAAAATCAAGAAAAAGAAGTTAGTTTAAAAGTGTAGCCTTTTTTCTTCTACCCTTTTGTACTTATTGTTAAAATGGTAGTCTATCACTATAAACTATTAGTGAACTGATACAGCACATAATGCAAATTGGATGTGAATAGTGTGCAGAAAGAAGGCAAATGGAATTGTCTGCAATTTTCTTGTATGCAAAATGATTCTCATTTCCTATTTATCTTCAATTTTGCATTTAGTGTGCAAAATAAAACCTAAAAAAATCAAACAAGATTTTGTCCTTTGTGAAGGAAACATTTTTAATTATCCTAAAAATACACATCAGCCACTTAATGGGTTTTATATACACAATTGCCACAATGCACGAGATATATAATGGAAGTGGTATTAGAAGCTAATGCAAGAAATCCAAGATAAAAGAATGTTTTTCTGTCCAGTGTTTTGGGAGGTGCTGTCTGCATTTTCAGGGTTTTCCAGACCAAGGAGCACCATAGGTAGGATGGTGCTGCACTGTGTAATGCTGGTGCTCAACAGCCCACCCTGACCATCTCTGCTCCAACCCCTTCTTCTCCTCCCTCTGTTATCATTATCTGGCTGGCCAAACCACTGGTCCTGGAGTTTGAGGTTCACATTTTCTTAGATGGAAGACGGGTCCCCCTTGGCCCAGGCAAATGCATGAACCACAGTTTGCTCTGCCAAAACCAGCTGGTTAATTGAAGCCAAGGATGTCAATTGTTTAAGTCAATTACAGTTGTATTTTTGGTGGCAAAATTATACTCACAAACAAAACAAAATAATTGTCATGCCCTGTTTTAAAAAGCTAATTTACAGAGACACTGACTACTGTCTGCATTTTAGATGCTCTGATTCTTTCATACTCAAAAGTATTTGAAATCAAACGATAGGAATTAAGGTGCACAGAAGTAGAGAAGAATTTGAAAAAAAGCAGCCATATCTAAACTCACAGAGCAAAATTAGCTAAGAATTTCATAGTAAGACCTAATGATGCTATAAATTGGCAATGAGGACAATACTTAAACATGTGTTATCACTTTTCCAAGTGATTAGTGAAGAAGCTACAGTAACCAGCAATTTTTTGAAGCTGTCTTTTATTCTACCGTGTGTAATTACATGGTCATTATAGGTCTGGACAGCATAGGGTTTTCTTGATCAAATTAAATCATGGAAGTCAGACAGAAAGATTGTGGTTTTTTCATGTTAGCATTGCAACTAAAGATAAAGAATAGCTTTATGCCTTCTAAGTGATGTCTCAGGTCAGGGCCTGAGATATTCAAACTGCTCAGAAATATATGATAACAAACCTTGATCTTCTCATATTCTCAAGCAGGGAAAGTCACCGTGACAATTAAGAATGCAACAACTGTCATGGCTAGTACAATCCAAAGAGTGAAAGACCTGTATACAAAGCAATGTTGGAACACTATTGTACTGAGACTTAACTTTTAACAATTCAGTCAAAATCACAAGAGGAATAAGTATCACATCATAAAGGAGTTCTGTTCACCATGCCAATAAAAGGGACAAATAGAATGGATTTATAAAATTAACGACTAAATCATCCAACAGAGCAAGTACGTCCATCTGGGTATATGTTACTTGTGATGTGTTGAAACCAAGTATTAATCTCATTTTTAAAGGACAAAGAGCTGTTTATTTTGTACTGTAGTATACCTATTCTAGGTGAGAAGGCATTCACAAACCTGAATTCAGTTTATGTACATTCACAACTGAAAATAAGTTTGGAAAACCACGTGTTGATTATAGCAAAGCCCCATAAGGAATGATTCACTCCAAAAATTTGCCCTCAGGGACAGTATAAAATCCTGCTATTTGATAAAGTGTTACCAGGAAAGCATAGCAGAAAGCCAGCATTATTTGGATTCAAATATCCTACTACCGAGCAGGAAAGACCATATTGTGCCATACCCTGAAGTCTTTATACATTTGTGCACCTGAGAAGATGAGAAATTATCTGAGGGTCAGATATACCAGGAGGTTTGAGAGAGAGGTGGGAGGTTTTTGCTGACATTGCTCATGCTTCATAACCCTCTCCTGCCTTGAAACTGGCTGCAGAGACAAACATGTCAAACATTTTCTCTTGCAGCTGTTGAACACCTTAGAATACTAAGGTACGTTTCTCAGTATTTACTGGGTTGCCATTTTTCCTCTTATTCTTTATGTAACATTTTGCTAAGTGGTGTAACTATCCACAAGACAGCAATTACTTGGCTTGAGCTTGGGACCACAGAGGAAAGATGCTGCCATGCGCACAAAATAACATCACCAAAACAGCAATTTGTTGGTGATGGGTATGTCCAGGCCTACATTCCCATGACCTAGCATTACTTCCAATGTCCTCTCCTCACAGCACTGTCTTGGGGATATCAGTTTTCATTTCTCTGCCAGATGCATATCTTTGGACATCAATATCTGTCTGTGATGACAGATTTTTTATGAATATGATTCTGAGCCCTTTTGTGCCAGTGTGTTGTTTAGTTTTCCACAGGTGTACCCAGCTGCAAAAATGAAGCCCCAAAAGATACTTAAAATTTTCTGTTACGGAGGCACAATGTGATTTCTGTTTTGCCAGCAATAAATGAGACTAGGGTTTCATCTCCAGCCCTTGTCTGCTGTCTTTTAATACTTCATTACCATCTGTATTTACAGCAAGAGCCCTTAGTTTTGATCAAGAATCCAGGTCCCACTGTGAAAAGGGCTGGATAGACATAGTCAGGAAAAACATAATTTTCACAGATACTGGCCTTTAATGGGAGCACCATTTTGTTTGTTTGTTTGTTTGTTTGTTTTTCTGTAATATCACAGTGTTTAAAGAGGGGCCAAAAAATGGATTTAAAAGCCAAACTTCAAGCTTGATAGATAATTTGCTAATAGCTTTTAGCAAAACTTCAATGTGTGAAATAAAAGAGCACACACAGACACACTTCAGAGTTCCCTTTCTCTTCAAAATAAATCGCAACTGGTATCAAATTCGGTTTTACTATCCTGTCCCAATTTTCCTACATTGCTAAAAAGCCCTAAGCACAGCCTTTCAAAGGCTTGTTGAGATTCTTGCAGCCTCCTTCAGGTTTTCCTTGGAAGGACTGGAGATACTTCCGCAAATAGTCTGAGTCACCTAAATATACACAAATACAACCTGCAATCTCACCTGCAGGCACTAGCACGGGAGACCTGTTACCCATTCCAGCCCTGAGGGCAAAACCTTTTCCATGTTTAGGACAACTGTCTGTTCACAGTTTGTATGATATTGGCTTGGCCCTGCTGTAATGTCTAATTTCCTTCAAGGTTATCTGGAAAAAACAGGCAACATGACAGAAATTTTTTCTCTGTCATCTGGGACACAGAGCAGAACTGAAATACAAACCCTAATTAGGATGTTTCTGCCCACATTGTTGTGCTTACTTTCTCAGTTTTAATCATTGGGGGTATTTCTAATGGATTCATTCCCTGATGCTGCCTTTCCAACTCTCTGTTAGCAGGGGCACAGAGATTGCAACATCCTTATCTCTGCAAGGTGAGGGAGAAGGTGCTCACTAGTGTCTGGCTATTGAAAGAATTAAATCAAAGTCTTAAGGAGAAGAAGTAAAAGTAAATGAAATATCAAAGTGATGGAAAAGAAATTGAGGGAAAATCTGTGAACATTTTTAAGAGGCAGTAAAGAACTGGTTGTCCTGCCCAAAGGCTTTTCTGTCCTGATTCATATGTTGCTCAAAGACTTAAAAAAAAAAAGTGAAAACCTGTGCTAACCTCATACCTGAGGCATGAGAGAGAATATATTTTTCTTTTTCTGCTCTCTTCATATGCTTCCATATGTCTTCCTCATAATTCAATATACAAAAAAGTAGCTACAAAAGAAACATTTATGTGCAAAATCAAACACTAAAGTTTTTAAAGTTAGGACATGCCAGGATTATTGATGCACAGGAATTCTTAGTTCAGGGCATTCTATGTATAAACGTGGTTTTTAATTACGAGCTCATGTACTATTTCTTCATGAGGGTATCTACCTTGTTCAGTGAAGACTTATTTTTATCCACAGCATTCACTGAGTGGCCTACAGGCCTTATTTAAACTACCCTGTACTGAATACAAAATGATGTAATTTTGCTCCACAAAATTTAAATACACACATCTTTATGGTATCTGTATGTGTAAAACTGATAGCCTTCGTCTTATAGGAGGGGAATTAAAGCATTGAGGCTGAGGCTGCCGCTTTTTTAACCTCCCCAATGCACACAGGTCCTTGGCCTCTATAGCTTTATTTTTCCTCTGACACTGCTTCTTTTTACCTGCATAATTTGAGTAAGTATGTAACCAACATAGAAAGACAGATATGTCTGCTTTGAAAAAAAAAAAAAAAAAAACAGGTAGAGGCACAGTTTCTTGAGACAGACTAGTACCTGCCTTGATTTCCTCCCCACCCAACTCTTCACATCTCCCACCCTGGCTGGGGCATTGCACCCCAGCAACTGCCTCCCAGTTCCCTCTTCCCACACTGCTCTCAGGAGTTTCCAATTAAAACTCAGTGCAGCATTGGAGTTTCTTATCATAATTTTTTGGTTTAACATTACAAAATGACACATCTTTGCTCAAACTTCTTCTTAAAATCAGACAAACCATTTTGGCTGTCAGACAGGGAGAAAAAATCCTAAATCCTTGATGGACATAGATGAGACTTCAGCTGTAACTGAGTGTTGGGCAAAGTTACAAATGATAGACAAGGTGGTCTATAAATACCTCTCATAAAATCATGTTGAGGAACCACTCCTGTGGCTGTAAAACCAAATATTTTAGGAAATACCAGAGTGCAGGAACTGTGTACAAACTTAAGTCAAACCCACAGCAAATCTGCTCTATAAGCCTCCTTACCTGACATAATGCTTTTATTTAGCTGGATATTACAGCTGGAGATGCATGCTAAACCACACCATTTTCCCTACTGCAATACAGCAGTCTGAGTGAAGGTCTTCACCTAAAAAAAAAAAAAGTATTGGGGATTTTATCATCATTTACCACCTGCCCTCTTTTTGGCTGCCTCATTTCCTCATTTGGTGATTCCTATGGGAAGCTGTACTTGCACAGGTGTCTGTGCTTTGCTAATGGGGGAAGCCAGCAGGGAAGCCACCCCTGGACTGACAAGTGTCATGGTCCCTCCATAGCTCAGCACCTGACTAGGCAGGAGGGAGGTGAAAATGAAATCCAGGTGGTTTGTCCCTTTGACGTGCTGTAAAAGCTTCCTGAACTTTTTCAGCTCTGACACCTGCAAAATGAAATGTTTCATTTTTAAAGCATTTAAAGTATTATCTTTAAAAATAAACACCAGAGGAACTGCAGCAGATTGCCTGCTGTTATTGACTCTGGAAGGATTGCTGACTGAAGCGCTACACACCAACAGAGCAATAGCAATTTAATGTTCATTAGTGTTTAGAGCAGTTTCTCAGTGAGAAGATTAAGAGGCCAGGAAATCCACTGAATTTCTTTCCTTTGTTTGAGATTCAAGGTAAGAAAATGCATGCAGCATTTTCCTGTTCAAATTCTATGGGAAATGCGCCCACAATGGGAGATAAGATGTCCCCTTCAGTACTCACAAATTCCTTTTAAAGGATGAGTTAAAAATAAAATATTGGTCTGTGAAGGTGAATCTTGATAATGCAGCCTTACAGTATCTTTCAGAGGAAACAAAAGGAAAGGTGCTTTGCTGCTACAGCTCAGAAATTGCTTTATTATCTGACTCACACTTGGAGCAGAGCAGCCTCCAACCCTGGCATCTATCACAAAGCATCAGAATAACAGCACCAAGTTACAATTTTAAAATTACAATGGAAAGAGGCTATTATTTCCACTTTGTAGGGCTATGTCAGAAGCCAGCTCTCTGCTATCTAGAATAGTTATTTCCCCCCTCAGTGTCAGAATATGCCTGTTTGGGGCTCATTAGAGGTTTTTTTTCCAAATATTTTTGCCTTCCTACAGTCACAAAGAACAGGACTGAAAAAAAAAAATCAGCCTTGTTTTTTTTCCTGCTGGTTTCCTCACTGATATATTTGTTAATACAGTAATTAAAAGCAAATTACACTCTTCTATAACTACAGAAGTAATTATGGGCCATGTCTAATAATGGTTGCCAAAACAACTTACAACTCTGAAACTATCTCATAGAGCACTTTCTGACCTGTGGGTCTCTAACAAGCTCAGCAGCTTCTTTCCTTTCCCAGCCAATCTGTCTCAGCACTGAATGTAAAAATCCAAATACCATCCTCAAAATGTATCTACAGTTTCACTACAGATGAAACTCCCTACAGATCAAATCTTAGCTGATAAGACAGAGGTGAGATGCCCCAGAACACAGAGACAGGCCAGAATGACAAAGCAGCAGAGTTTCTCCCTGTATTTATCCCGCTCCATGGCTTCACACTCCTGCTCCTCTCTAAGTATTGTCTCTCTTTACAATCTTCATCCTCTGACACAACCCACTTTTTGCTGGCCTGACAGGCCAGCCAGTGCACAGGTCTCCATTCTTGAAGAGTTCAGGCATCTCACATCAGAGCCACACTTGGTAGGAGACACTAAACTGGTAACCAAGCTATACCATGATGTTACTGCAATCCTGCTCTGTAGTAGAACGGAGGGACAATGAGAGAGCACATTACTAAGCTTCCTCACTCTTTTCCAAGCAACTCACCATTCTTTTTGGGTCCCCTCTAGATTTCTGTTCCCAGAGAGCCAAGTGCTGCAAGTAGCTACAGGGAAACATCGCTGCACCTGCAGAGAAGCAGCAGTCATTTGTGGTTGTAAAATGCAAGTCTGTCCCAGCACGTCCACAGACTAAAGGGACTATCTCCCCTCCTGTGATGGAAACACTCTCACTGGAACAATTGAGATCCTACTCTCTGTTTCTCACGCCCATGAAATAAAAGCCTGGTTTTATGTTTTCCTTAGTGCCTTTTAGCCCAGGCACTAAACATTATGGTCACTTGTTTACTTATAGCAGATGCAAGGCAATAATCTATACATGCAATAAGAATGCACCAAAGAGAGAAGCTGTAAAATATTTCTGGTGCTGTATTAACACTGAGGAAACCAAGGAAGTAAAAAGCAGACTGAATGACGGGCTTTTTAAACCAGATTTACTAGATTCAATATCTTAACTTTCTTTTACAATCAACGTGCCAAGAGAAGGAAAAGCTGCATTTGGGCAAGCTCACAGTGTTTCTTTATTTTCAGCTTGTACCCTTCCTTCCATCTCACATCTGACTAAGCCACTTAATTCAAAGAAGATGTTAGGTCATATTTAGTGTCAGTGAAATTTGTCTGAACAACAGCCCCAGAAAGGGATCTAAATCTTTGCACATCCATCCTGTTAAGGAGCCCAAGAATGCTGAAGAAAATTATTTGAAATTAAAAAAAGAAAAGCTCTTTTGCATTATTCTCCCTCTATTTTTTTAAAGAATAAAAGGTGTTGAAAAATATCTGCCTATGTTGTTTTTTGGATTTCCCCTGTAATAATGAGCTATGCAGATCCCTTCTGGTTTGTTTTTTCTTCAACAATGCACTACTTCATCTTAAAGCAGGAAAAAATAAAGTTATTTTGCTGGAATAAGCCTGGAGTGACACAAAACTAAATCAAATTATCACCTGGAGCTTTTAGTCTTTTATGGATTAGCTGTTGTTATGATACTTTGTACAGTTCTTGTCTCATTGAAGTTCAGGGAACTCTGCCACTTATTGCAAGAAAATAAATAAATGTTCTTGCTCTCTCCATATCACCATTTTTAAAATTAATATCACCACATATGATTAAGTACATAAAATATTTCTGCTAAGCGAGCAGAAGTATGTATCTCCATGAGACCTTATGTGTAGCAATTTTCAGACCTCACTTAGGCTCTGCTGTTGGTAACAAGTTTCCTGTTTTCATTAAGGATTTCATTTATTTTACATTTTTTACATTTTTACATTCTAAGTATGCATTATTTGTTGCAGTGCCTTCTTTCATGTTCCATCTTCCTTCTTTAGTAAAATTTAGTACAATTTCCCAATTTATTTGGCTCCAGAGTCAAATTTATGTCGTGTGTTTTGCCAGACAGTGAACACAGTCTCATACAGGCATTTAAATCAATCAGATAGTGAGATCTCAGTCCAGAGGAGTTGATCTATTCCAAAATACAAAAATGTGTATCTATACAAATAAATCTGTAGCTGGAGCACATATATCAGCATAGGAAAGCAGATCAGGTAGCAGTAGTTCAGTGTGAACAAATGCTGTGAATTAATGCTTATGCTATCTGTAGTAGAGTTTACAGCACTTCTGAAAAGAGAGTCCAATACATTCTTCCCAATAGTCACCATTATATTTTCGCTTGTTTCCTTCTACCTTACTATGACTGCAGTCCTCAGAGATATGATGCATCTATAAGAACTCATCACTATGTCAGGTTGTTTTTCAACCCTAACACTTTAAAAGCCATTAGAGATGGACTATTAGACTTCTGTGACTCAGGAGGCTGAACATTTCATGGTTCTCATCTATGACCTTGGTGCTTGCTGAAACTCTCCAATTGCAGTCTTCTAAAAATCTACCCTATCATTGCCACCCCATTCATTACCCATCCTTAGATCCCAGCACCAGCACTGGGAGGACTGACCTTCTCCTGTCCCAGGCACAAGGCTGCAGCATCACCCTTGTTAGGACCTGCAGAGGAGCAGGGAAATGCCCCCCAGGACAGCTATACAGGGACAGAAATTGTAGGAGACACCTTGGAGAACAGTTGAACAGAGGGTGCCTGACTATGGCACTTGTGCTGCTCAAATCCAGATTCATCTAGCAGGTATTTTTCCCTTTAAACATCCTTATGAGTTAAGCTCTAGCCCACATTTGAGGGAGAATCCCGGTAACACCTAGAAACCTAGCACGACCGTATGTTCTGGATGAGCTGAGCAAGAATGAGTGCTTAGCCCATCTGCAGATATCCTGATCCTCTGCGCAGCTCCTTTGTTCTGAATCTAAGCAACTGTAGAGCTACCACCTAGAAATAACCAACAGAAATAGAGCTCAGGTGGCTAAAGCCCATTGACAAGCCGTTCTTAGTTTTCCAAAGGAGACAAGGACAGTGACTGTAGAACTGGACACCACCTGCTTGCATAAAGCTACACACACATGAAGCTATTGGCAGTAGTATTACTTTTCACTTTGTCTCTCTTGTAACAGTAAAAGACTCCCCAGCAAAGGTAAACTTGAACTGGAAGAGGTGCAGTGAAAAGCTTGTAGGACCATTAGAAGAAGATGCTAGAAGAATTTGGCATACATACCAGCAAAAGGAAGGCTGGGCAGGGATACAAGAGAATAAACCTCAACAATTATGCATCTAATGGACCTACAAGGCTCTACTGGCCCAAGAACAAAAGGATATAAAACAAGCCTGACTGACTAGGGCTGTAAATTAAGAAAAGATTTTGATCTCACTCAGCAGTGTAGTTCTGGAAGGGCTTTTAAAAGGAAAAGTGTATGCTGGGACAGCACACTGGGACTGAGAAATCACCTGTGGCACATAGGGCATGTGGAAATGCTCACTACTGACTGCTCCTTGCAGGAATCTAACTGCTCACCACAGGGGACAGCTATCTGTGCCAAGCCCTGCTGGCCAAAACATTGATAGTCCAGTGCTGAAGTAATCTCAGTTGTTAAAGTCAGGAGCACAAAGGAGTCAAGGTGAAAGTTTTACTAAGTGTGTCTATATTGGGGTTCAATTTATAGTTTACAACTCTTTTTTTTAATTATTTTGGACTTAATTAAGCTGAATAATTAGCATTCAGCCTGACAATGTATGTACTATCCAAGTGATTTAACTTTGAAACACAATTACTTTTTTTATACTGTTGAGGAAATAAAACAAGGAATAAATCGAGTACAGTATCTCATTAAAAGGACATCTGTGAAGGTGCATTCTTATTGGTACAGTACTCAATTCAGTCTCGGCATAAACCAGGTGCAACACCAGGGCTGGATTTGCCCATTCTTTTAACTGTCCAATGGTCATTGGATTAACCTATAGCACCGAACATGACTGAATTATGCTCTAAACCTATGGGTTCTTGTCAAGCTTGAGCAGACCATCAAGACAGGGAAACAGATGCTTAGTCATCATGTGTCACCTAATAGTAAAGCCACATAGCAGAGGAAAATTGCTCACCTTGTAATCGACCTCTCAAATCTCCTGACAAAACCCATGGTAGATGCAGATGCACATACATTTTTAGTTTTACTACAGAATGGCAAGGAGCTTTTCTGCTTAAAGCTACCCATCTTTCAGCTGCATACGTATGCATAAGAAACAAGGGAGTCCTTCCAGGTTTTCATCAGTGTAAATGACAGCAGAATGTGGACATAAAGTAAGCACATTAAACATGTCAAAAGTAATAAACAGACAAGGACCAAGATGTATTTGAGGTACTCCACAGAAGACTTTCTGAATGAAATATGTCTGGAAGAGAAAAAACTCAGATGGAAAAGAGTGTAAAATAATCATTTGTGAAGATGGTATAAAAGCTGTAGGTTCTGAAGGAAAGAATTAAAAAAAAAAAAAACAACACAAACAGTACAAATGACAGATAAGTGGATAAGTGCAGGGTGCAATGCAAAGGAAAAAAGAAGGGTAAATAAGGCCCAGAAATCACAGAGGAGGACTGGGAACTAGAAGAAAAAGCAGCTAGTTTAGGAAAGGTTTAGTTGGCCTGAGCTCATCACAACAGGTCTTTGATGGAAATTGCAGAAGAAGAAGAAGAAAGGATGAATGGTCCATGAGCAGAGTGAGATGACAGCCTGCCCCACGTTTATGGCATTCAGGTTTCTCTGTGGGTGAAGAACCACGTGTCAAGAGATGCCCCTTCTCTAATCCAGTGCAGGAATACAAAGTTCTGTACCATACCCTGCAAGTTCAGGAGGTTTCCAGGACGCTGGTCACATATTTCATTCTACTCTCATGCAAGTTATTAAAGCAACGAGGCAGAAGCTCTGTCATTCTCTGACTTGAGGCATGGGATCTGATGCTGCAGAAGCTCAGTTTTTTGTCTGACCCTCTCCCATAATCACCCTCATCCATAGGAAATGGCAAGTAACATGGAAGGTCAATCTATGAGATGGACCCACCTGAACACATTTGGGTTTGTTAAGCCTGGGTGTATCACACGACCTCTTTTGCACTTGTGTGACAGTAAATTATAGTCTCTTGTGGTCAGAGCAGTACCTGGGTAAGAGAGGAGATAAGACAGTACAGACTGTTCCTTCATGATTTATAGGTGAAGTGTTCCGTGAGGGTACAGTGAGGAGGCAGCTTTGCACCACACATTGTGATGCACCAGCACGAGCCAGGGTGGAGATTGGCAAGGGGAAAGCAGAAAGCTATTATTTTTGAGATTGTACTGTTCTGGGACTACAGTTACTCTGCAAATTGAATTCATATTGATAATATGTAGTAAGCAAACTATTTTTCAGAAAGACAAAATTTCCAGCCTGTTCTCAGCTATGTAGAGAACAATGCCATATTTCAGAACAAACAGTATTAATTTTCCTTTTCCACCCTTAGATTAAAATAGGATTTAATTCAATGACCAGAAAAAAAATACCATTAATAACTGGCTTATTCCTTGACACTCTAACTAATAAAAATATACTGGCTGGTTTTTTTGCTTTCATTCTGTCTGTACCACAGTTACCTTTGAGAACCAGAGAAAAAGCATCTTCTGACACTGATCAAATAAAGCCA